AAATTGTACAGAAGTATTTTTGAGATAGTAGCTTTATAGCGTTACGATATAAAAATAAGATTATATGTGGCATAGCATCGCTCTTGTGATTCTAATAAAAATAATTCCCTATGCTGTGGTCCTCTGCTAACTTTGTAGGCTGTTTATGGTAGCTGTGATTTTGCTGCTGTTTGTAGCAGGCAAGTTTCATGCTGCTTTTTGAACTGGGGCTGAAGTGGTGTGGTGTTGGTATTTAATGCCAGTGGGCATGCTTCAGTTCAGGCATTTGTGTGCACAGTGACCCCACCGTGATATTTAGAAGACACTTATTTGAATATTGACTTGGAAGACTTGTTACTTGCTGAGCATACAGACCTAGCTGTAATGAGAAACAAGATTGATCAGGAGAATATCTTAAAGAGGTAGTGGGAAAAAAAAGAAGCATTTCTTAAGCAAACTTGCCAAGTTGACTGTGCTGTTAAAAAGCTGATATGGTCATTTATTTCTGGCTATTTTCTTTTCCTTGTTGTTCAGGGGTATGGTAAAATGGTAGAGGGAGGTGGGTTTTTCTGTACTTCTGTGGCATAGAGAGAGAGTTTGGGTGGTAAAGCAACAAACCTCTTTGGATTATGTCTTGTCTTTAGTGATGGTAGCTGGAGGTAATGCTAAGCAGAAGCTTGGGAAAATAAATAAATGAATAGAAAACCAGATACCACTTTGAGAGGTATCTGACCTTGGTCAGAGCTCAGTGGCTGCTGCCCTTCAGCAGGAGGGTGTATGTTCGGGGACTGTAGGGATGCAGGGATTACTCTGTCATTGTATCATGTTAGCTCTGGTTGGAGGCTTAAAATGTGCTTGACTGCTGAAAACTGTATTTGGGATTTTCCTTCTCTGTTGCTTTCTGGTTCAAAGAGCATCTAGTATCATTTTGTGCAGCCCGCATTCCCACATCACTTATGTAGAAGTAAGCGACTGCTCTGTCCCTTTGCCCCTTTTTGTCAAGCACGAAGAGCCTTGTCTTATCCTCTCACCCCTGCCAGTTCCTAGGACTATTTCCTTTTTGGGTCTCCTTCTGATATTATCTCTGGGTTTACTTTTGTCATTGCCCTTTGTTCCACTGAGTTCTGCTCACAGCTCACCCTATTTTTTCCCTTTTTCAAAATTTGAGAGTTTCGTTATTACTTGTTTCTGTGGCCACCTTTCTCATCTCTGTCCCTCCAGAACCAGCTTCATGCTTCCTGAGCTTTCATATTCCTTTTTGCCAATCCAAGTCTTTTCCAAAGGCTTGTCCTTTTCTTCAAATTACTTCCTTCTGTGCAAGTAATTTCTAACAACACCTCAACACTGTCCCTCTTGCCATCTTCAGTTTGAAACAATAAAGCTTAAGCTCTTGCTCTCTGCAGTAAACTTCTTCATGAAGGGATTCATTTTCGTTGGCTCGTGCAGCAAGGACCACAATGTTGGCACCTAAGGAGCAATGTGCGGGCTCTGCGGCTAGCGTAAGAAATCGATTGCGTAGCAACCTCAGGGGTGTTTTGTTGTTTGTTGGAGAAAAGCAGCTGATGACTCATTTTGGCAGATGTCAGTAAAAAGTCAGAGCCGGCTCACCTGCTTAAAGCTACAGAGAGCAAAGGCAGCGTAGAGGTTTAGTTGGGACGTCAGGAGTAACTGTGTAACTTGGGGAGAAATGTTTGGTGAGGTTTGGGAGCTAAGGGATTTACTGAAATGTCTTATAGCAAATATTTTTTTTTCTGTAAATTCTATCTACGTCGTTGTCAGTTTTCAGCCAAAATTAGTTTCAAAGCTATCACAAAAGATAAACTAGGTAAATGACCTTTAATTTAAGTGGTGGTTCTAGTTATATTCTCCCTTCCCTCCTGTTGAAAGAATATCCCTAGAGATACTCAGCATTCCTGAAAATGAGTCTAGGAAAGTGAATGCCAGCTTGAACTCCAGAGGTAGGAAACATTTCTGTCCAGGGCTTTAGTTGGCTGATGACGGGCTGCGAGGCTTTCTTAAAATATATATGTCTGTGTATACATGCCTCATAAAGAGGAGTAACTGTTCTGAAATGAACTGTGTTTTTCTGTGTAACTTCTTACAAACTCTAATGGATTTTAAAACTTAATGAAAGCACATCTTGTTTACGGCAATGTTCAAAATTACTTAAAATTACTAGTTTTAAAGAAGTTAAATAATGAGATTACAATGAGAGGAAACAGTTACAGCCTGATGTGCTTTTCTTGCTTGCTTAGATTTAAGAATAATATCGTTATTTAGGGCTCTCCTTCTGTGTGAGTCTATATTTGCAAGAACAGGGGCTCTCAGGTCAGGTGCATCTTCCATGTCTATGCTTCTCATTCTCTTGCTTGCAGTGCATAATCAGCAGACTGATGTGCTGCTTGGAGAAATACAGGCTGCCCAAACAGAACTGAGATGAGCAATCATTTGTTTTAATTTCCATACAAGCTTGTGGCTTGTTGACTTTCACTGTTAATACAAGCACTTACTTTCCGGTAGATTAAAATCAGTGTTAGACAGTTAACAGGGGACCACAGTGCTAGTTTGAGCCTCCCTGAGACTTTGTAGCCTCCTCTTACCCTATCCCTTACCCTTCATGAGGCTTTTCTGTTGCTACAAGTGGTTACTATTACCATCAAACCACTTGTTCATGTTTCAGTTTTAACTCATTGTCATTAGAAGACTTTAACTTTCTTTCCTGCTTCTATGGACAGGTTTTATAGGAAGTATTTGAGAGGCAAAATGTGTAACTTGAGAAGGGCCAAACTGACCTGAGCTGTCACTTGAGGTGGGACAATGCCAGCAAAAAAAATTTGGATGGTAAACTGGGCTAAAAGCCATGCTGCCACATAGTCAGGAGTGCCTCACCTCTAAGTTGAGTGGTGCTGAGCTCGGTTGCTGTGCTGGAAAGAATGATTTTGAAAGTAGGAAGATGTGACAGTTTGCTACTGAACTTCCTTGTCCCTGTCGGGCTTTTTCTGATGGTTTCTAAGTGGTTGAGCTACTCACCCTTTGTTGGGCTGGCCTGGGCTGCAGTTTTACCTGCCCGTGTAATCCCTAGTGCTGCTGCCACGAGAAACACTTTTTCTTGACCTTGTGATGCACCTTTCTCAGGTGCTTGTGAAACTATGTTGGAAACCAGATCTTGAGGGAAGGAGGTCTGAAATGAATAAATACAAATGGTCAAGCTGATCAGGTCTTTAACAGACTTAATTGCATGAAGATGGGAAGTACATGGAAGGCAGGGCCATTCTTCAGGTGGCAGTGCTGGTTTGAGTAGCTTAAGGTGCCCCTTGGTAGATAGGTAGTCCTTGTAGGCACTTGCTGGGTCATCTCTCAGTACTGGAGCTGCTGAGCTGCCCTCCCTCATCTCTTTGACTTGCACTGGTAGGTTTTGTAGTCGGAAGATAAACTGTCTCAAAAGCTAGCAATGGTTCATGCACAACCTGAAGAAGGTGGTGTTAATGTTTGGGTGGGTTGGCAACCTGGATTGTTGAATTCCCTTGCAGCTGGGTAGATCAGCTGGAGTGCTGACACTGACAAAGGGAAGGTGGGAGAGGCACATAGCTGAGAGGTAGGGTGGGTCTGCTATAGACCTAGTGTAAATTTAAGGTGCTGTGGAGTCATTCTTGGGCTTGCGTGTGCTTTGACACTGGCACTCTTAACTGCATCAGACCTGATTCTGCACTGCTGAATTGCTCAAAGGATGCTTTGCTGTCATCTGCTGTTTGCCTTAGCCTTGATCTTCGATGGAGATGTATGCCCTGGTGACCTCTGCACAGGGGGCATGGTGTCCACACAGGCACTGGAGATGGCTGGGATCTGCGTTTGGCCAGCCAGTCGTAGTCTGAGTGTCCTTTGGTGGCTGCTTGTAAATTAACTTAGCCTGTGCAGCTTGTTTTTCCAGTGACATGATTAATAATGACTGGTTTATACGCTTATTGTTAAATCGCATGAGAAGGCTTTTCTATATTAGTCCTACCACAGCTCAGGGTGCCATTTGTGGTTTTCATGATTAGCAGAGCTTGTGCAGAGAGAAATCTCTGTTGGCTCTGAGCGTTCCTCAGAGACGTGCCTTAGTATCTGTCTCCATTTGGGTTTTGACGACATTCAACTAATATTGTGAAAATCATTTCTATCCTCATAATTGAAATACAGTTGATTAAAATGCAGTTGATTAACTGTGTGTTATGTGGTCCTTATATGCTAACACTGCTAGCAGAAGCTTGTTGAGGGATGAGACGTCTTGCAGCCCATTTAAATATAGAAACACAGATGTGGCTTTAACAGTGTTGTAGGTGAGGTTTCTGAAAAGAGGCAGTAGTAGTGGTTAATTGTTAATTTAGTGTTGAGATTACAGATGTTTTGTGTGTTTTTTGTGGGTTTTGGTTTTACAGTTGACTGCAGAATATACATATTTACCTGCAAGGAAGTGAAGATGTCTGCCTTTTCTGTCTTTCTTTTTCTTTAATATTTTTTTAAGAATGGAAAAAAGATGTATAAATGACGGTGGCAGCAATTGAGAGGCAATAAACAAATTAAGTCTCTTCTGTCATTCTGTCTTGTACCTTCAGGGAACTAGGCTGTGCAGCTGTTCTCACCAGTTCTTAGATGTTGGGAAATCTACCTGGGAGCTTTCTCTTGAGGGACAGATCTTTAGGAAGCCAGTCATCATGGGTTCTCTTACTAATGGAAAAGTGCTTGTGAAATAGGAGCCATCAACTTGAACTACAGTTCTCTGCAAAAGTCTTGCCTAGGGTGCTTGCAGCTGGTACGGTTTCAGCTGTGTAGAGAGGCCATCAGGCAATTTCCCCTTTTGTGCAGATCACTGGAAGGCTACAGGAAGACAGCAAACTCCATGTGTTTTACCAGAAATGTTTGGGCTTTAGGATACAAGCGTACATCAGTGCAGACTTCTGTTCCAAGAATAAACTCGGTTTTGAGTTTGGTGGGATCTGCAGGAGCGCAGTTTTGTAAGTTTGTGTTCTGTTTATTTTCAGGGGTACCAGAAGATGCTTGAGTGGTGACACCTCTTTCACAATGCAAGTTACGATTGAAATTCATTAACTAACATCCCCTTCCTCACCCTGATCTCCAATAGACTTCCTGTAACGCTTGGAAGAACGGGTCAGGGGAGAAGGGTTGAAGGTCACCATGAAGCTAAAGCAGCGAGTTGTGCTGTTGGCCATCCTCCTTGTCATCTTCATTTTCACTAAAGTTTTCCTCATTGACAACTTGGACACGTCAGCTGCCAACCGGGAGGACCAGCGCGCCTTTCACCGTATGATGGCGAGCCTCCACGTAGAGCTGGACCCCCGGCTTGACCATACGTTGCAGTCCCCGTGGGAGATTGCAGCCCAATGGGTTGTGCCCCGGGAGGTTTATCCTGAGGAGACACCTGAACTAGGGGCTGTTATGCATGCCATGACGACAAAGAAAATAATAAAAGCTGATGTGGGCTACAAAGGGACCCAACTGAAAGCTTTGCTAATACTTGAAGGAGGACAAAAGGTTGTCTTCAAACCCAAGAGGTAAATATTGCCTTCAGTGACTTAATTATTAACTGCTTTATGTGTCTTTTTTAACTCCATGGTGTTGCATTAGTGTTTAAGTTGCAAACGTCCACATAAATGCTGTTAGTTGTGAGACAGCATAGAGCCTTGCTGGTCCTCTGACAACATGAGGTTGCTGTGCCAGCTGTCTCTCAGGCTGTATAGCTTTGATGCTCGAAACAGCCTATCTTTAGGTTAAAAGAATAATTACTGTGTTCAGTCCTGAGGGAAGGTTGGTTAAACCTGATGTTTCTGAGCAGCATCTCCTTGGTTGTGGAAGTGCATGTTCTGGCAGTGCAGAGACAAGTCTTGCCTATGCCTTCTGAGTAAGCGTCGTGTCGGACTGCCACGAGAGAACGCGGTTCCAGAGCAGGGCAGGAGCGAAAGTTGACAGTGACCTTCAAAGTAGGTGTGGATGTCTGGTGGAGTTGTATGAAGACTGTAAAAGTGGCTTGGTAGGTCAGACTGAAAGCCCCTGCATTTCCTCTCTGCCAGTAGTGAATACTGGAGGAGCACTATGAGAATGGGCAGGTAGAGATACTTCCTTGGTATGGTCTCTGTATGGTGATCCATAGGGAAATTTGATATGATTGAACATTTTTTGAAGAGTCTTGTGCACGTCTGTAAAGGTTTTTGAACTGTTTGCCTTCAGGGAAAAGGTGAGGAAAGAAAGATGTAAAAAAGTAAGGCAGGTGTGTTTTATGGGAGTGCACTGCAGATGTAAAGTGTTGTCATCACAGAACGAGTACATCTTTCTCCAAGGGTATTGCACTGAGCCAGCATGAAGATTTTCTGTCAAGTTGATGAATGACTGGAGAATGAGAATAAAGATCTGCCTTTCACTTTGTGAATTCTCAGCCCCTCTTTCTGTATGGCCAGTTCCTGGTCTGGCTGGAGCTTCACTGTGGGGCTGGGCTGTGTTTAAACAGCATGAACATTTCACACAGACATCTTGGTGATGCGACAGACAGCATGTCCAATAAATGCAGTAACAAGGCATGGGATTTCTACAGTGCTTTCTGTGTAAGTGAGTGCTGTAAAGTGTTTCACCAAGCATTAAATAACACTGCCATAACAGAGTGTCTGTGCAGGTGAACGCAGTGACTGTGCTCCATCAAGGACATGTGCAACTGGGAATGTTTATAGGAGTGCTAGACAGTTTATAGGAGTACTGGACCGTATGGCCCTGGCCGTGCTGGTGGACTTGTGTTCTGTTTGTGACTGCTCTATAGCTAGACTTGCAGGTAGAGTCTTGTTCTGTCATTGCAAGATAGTCTCTGACTAGTTTTTGACCTGAAAGGTGTATGAAAGTTACTAGTAAAAACCGTTTTGAGAAAACCTACTGTTTGAGGCCGCACCTCGAGTCTTGTGTTCAGTTCTGGGCCCCTCACTAGAAGAAGGATGTGGAGATTCTGGAGCGTGTTCAGAGAAGAGCCACAAGGATGGTGAGGGCTCTGGAGAACAAGCCTGATGAGGAGCGGCTGAGGGAACTGGGCTTGTTTAGCCTGGAGAAGAGAAGGCTGAGGGGAGACCTCATCACCACCTACAGCTGCCTCAAGGGAGGTTGTGGAGAGGTGGGTGCTGGTCTCTTCTCCCAGGTGATGGGGGATAGAACAAGGGGAAACGGCACCAAGCTGTGCCAAGGGAGGTTCAGGTTAGAGATAAGGAGGAAGTTCTTTACTGAGAGGTTCGTCAGAAGCCGGAACAGGCTGCCCAGGGAGGTGGTGGAGTCACCATCCCTGGATGTATTTAAAGAGCGGGTAGACGAGGTACTTAAGGATATGGTTTAGGGGGTAGACAGGAACGGTTGGACGTGATGATCTCAGAGGGCTTTTCCAACCGAGCGATTCTGTGATTCTGTGAATTAATTCTCTTGATTGGCCACCTTTGCTCTAGAAAGGACTAGATGCTTACTGTGCATGGAAGAAAGAAGTTGGTTGTGGTTTCCCAATAAGTTATAGCTCTGTAGCTTTCAATATGTGACCATAGTTTTCAAAAGCCCACTCTAAGTGGGCCTTGGAGACCTGAGTCCAAGGAAGTGTTCTGAGGATTCAGTATCTCATTTCAAAATTACTTGAAATCCAGTCTAAGTTATTAATGATTATAGCTGCTATCTTCACATGCCAGTGGTATATGTGAAATAGGATGCTTGTTTGGAGTAGGTTCCAGTTTGACAGGAATCTGTCAAATCCTGCTCCCAAAAAGCTCTGTACCATCCCGCACTGGCTCATTCTCTTGAGCTGCCTTGCAGAGAAGCTAAAGCAAGTGGGCTGTCATCTTGCCCAAGAGATCTCTGGGCAGGTTTAAAATGTCAGAGTAGAGCACTGTGGCTTCTCTTACACTGTTGCTGCTGCTGCTTGAACCCCAAGACTGTTGGAATTAATCCACAGTTTACACAATTTGATACACGGATGGAAGTTAGAAAATAGGTAATCTAATCTGGCCTTTATTTGAAAATGCATCGTGTTTCATCCACCTGCTCGGTATTGACTGTGGTATTTTATGCTCATCTGCATGCTTCTTAAGCAGTGTCTAGATCCAATTCAGATGTCATCAATCTCGGACATGTGTGTTAGCCTTGACTGTTTAAGTAACATGTGTTATAAAAAGAAAAAAAACCACCCAAAAGTAATAAACCAAAACAAAAACCACCAAAAACCCCTCACCACTTCACCAAAACATACCATTGTTGTTTTAATGAGCGTCTAATTTCTATTTCTTGCTGTTCATTATGTGTTTTCTCCACCAGAATAAAGAGTCTCTTTATATCTCGTATTGTCCTCAGGTTCACACTTGCTGATCTTCTGGCTACTAAAGATTATATTTAGCATTTCTTCCACAATATCAGATTGTATTTTCATGTTAATCTGCAATCTGTTCTAACCTCAAAATAATTTGTGGAGTTGCTGCTTTCCAGTATAAATCGTCCCTTGTTCTGTAGCTGGGTCTGTGCTCTTTGTTCTTAGATGTGACTTGGCATATGGTTGAATTAAAACTCATTAGTTTGGCTGGACACTGCTTCCCAAGCCCTTGAGACCACTGTGTACATCACTGACCTTTCCTCCTTCCTTACTCCTTCAGCAGTCTGTATGCTATTTAATCTCATTAATAATTTTTCCCTCTCCCATTGGCAATCATTTTGAAAGTGACCCAGAGTCGGCTTAACTTATCACTGTTATTGCACTTGTTACTCTGAACAGCAAAATTGATGGGAATCCTGCACAAATCACTTTATTTGACTTATTTTTATTACAGATATGCCAGGGATTATGTAGTGGAAGGAGAACCATACGCTGGCTATGACAGACACAACGCAGAAGTGGCAGCCTTTCACTTGGATAGGTACGGAAATACTGGGTTACCTGGTTTTATTGTCCCTGGTAAACTGTTTTTCAGAGTTTGGGAAAAAGGAGTCCCTTGAAGAATACACCTCAGATGTGAGCTCTTTCTAGCCTGCCAACATACCACGTTGAAGCCAAAGATAACAATTAGCTTTTTTATGAAGCTTCAGATTTTTGTGAAAAATTTGGAAGAGAGAATTAGCAGTAAAACCACTGGTATTTCATATCATATGGAAGAAAGAGCTCAGCCAAATCCTGTGAAAGAGTCTGAAATGCTAAATGTCCAGTATGTGAAAAAGTCAAGTCTAATATCTAGACCAACAGCTTAATCTAGACTAAATATGAACCGGTGCATCCTAGAGGAAAAACAACTGTTCATTTCTGTGTTGTGTTCAGGGGTATCCAGGTGGTTTTGTGGACCTGAGCTGGAGGTGCAATTACTAGGGAAAAAGCAAAGTTATGGGTCATACAAAGAGTGGTTCACAGATTAGCAAACACTGAATGTTGGTAGTTACGAAGTACGAGTTAGATGCAGTTTCATCTAGGACAAATGAGCGCAGTCTCGGTTTCCTCATTACAAGAGGACTGTGCTGGTACTTTGGAGACGATTTCTGAAGATAATTAAAAATGTGAACATTTCTTTCACTAAGAGACTTAAAATCTTGGGAAAGAGAATAAGGAGACACAAATATAATAAAGACTGGAATGGTTAAACTTAAACTGAGGGTTTAGTCTTCCTTTCTCAGTACAGAAATAAGAGACTCATCGCTGCGGCTGAATTCGTAGGTGATAAAAGATATGTTGGTCCTGATTCATCTGTGGAACTCATTACACAGGCAATGGAAATTAGTAATTCTAGGAAGGTAGTAACTAATTGTGTAATACCAATCACTGCTGTTGCAATCTTTGGGTGGTGGGCCAAAATCAATGTATGTTAAGAGAAGGGGGAAAAAAATGTAGCCAGATGTCTGTCATCCATTTGTGCTCTCAAGAAAAACGTGGACTTGTGTTTCCCTGAAAAACAATGATCAAACATGGTAAAGCCACAATTCAAAGCTTCTTTCCAGTGTGCAAGTCCCTCTTCTTTCTTCCTTGCGGCCTATTTGGCTGTGTTTTGGTGCTTGTTTCTTTGGCGTTTATCCTCTCTGTGGGTCTACACCTCTATATTCTTCAAGGCTCCCTGGCAAAAGCTGTCTGCCCACAGAACTTCAGCATATACCTTTGTTTTGAATGGTGGTCATTTGTGGTCACACAGCAGAGGCAGACATGAGAGTGGAACCCAGACCTTGTGACTGCACGTTTCAAGATTGTTTCCCACCTCTTTTTTCACAGACACTTTTCAGATATTCAGTTTTGTTCTACCATTTTCTCTTCCCTTCTCCCCCCTCATGCCTAACAAAACATCTCCTTGATCGCTTACTTTCAGTTGTAATTGAATTTGGCTTAAACATAACATTTTAATAGATAGCAATTCCTACAGATTACAAGTGATCTTTCCAGGTGAGCAACTCAAAGGCCATGTGGTTACTGCTTCAGCCTGTACACAAGACAGATGATGGATATTTCTGGTATGAGGTCTGATTTCTGAGACTCAGAGTACAGTGCATCCTGTTTTGCTCTGCTGCAAAAGTTCTAATAAAGGAGTGTCACTGATGGCCTATAAAGCAAGTTTAACACCCAGGCACTTTAAAAACAACCATTAGCTTCCTTACTTTGCCTTGGAGAAGAAATGAGGTTGCTGCAGGGTTCCAACTTTATACTTCTCAATCTTTGTAAATCTTCTCGTTCTTTATACGTCTGAGTCATCTCAATTTCAAACAATGGCACAGAGACTATATTTTTGTTTTGTTTTATTTTGTAACTGCTGCCTGTGTTGATAATCCTCTGATAATTTTTTTTTGCCACAAAACAGAATTTTAGGTTTCCGACGAGCTCCGCTGGTGGTCGGCAGGTTTGTGAATCTACGTACGGAGATCAAACCAGTTGCCACAGAGCAGCTTCTGGGTACCTTCATGACCGTGGGTAAGTGGATGCCACGGGTTGTGCAGCCCAGTAAAGAAAGACATGTTCAACGGGGAAAAAGAACCATGGGAGTCTGACACAGTCATAGAACAGTTAACTGTAATGCAGGAAGCTGGCAAGTCTCTCTGTGCCAGGAGAGACCGACTGCTTGTGTAACCCCATTTGGCAGGGGAGGAGGACTTGGTTTTCTCCAAGTGGTTTTTCCTCTGTAGCTTCTCTGTGTCCCTCATGCTGCTGTTACAGATGGGATTTTTTTTTTAAGTAAGAGTTTTCTCGCTGCTGTCAGAGGTTGTTAGAAAAGTCTACGATTAGACCTGAAAAAGAAAAAAATGGGGTAGTGTTTAATGTGAACACAGTGGTGATCTGGGATAACTTACAGAGCTGATGTGTCGGTTGGTGTTAGATGTTGGTTGTGCTACATCAGAGTCTGCTGAACATTCGTAACTCCATGTGTCAGAACTTCCCTGTGTTGTTTACACTAATAACGCTGTGAAGGGCACTTAATGGAAATTATTAACGTGAACTCCTACCAGGTGGTCATTAAACACCAATAAATTATTTATGCTGCAGCCTTAACTCCTTCAGACTTTTCATAAAATATCCAATTATTTCTCTCTTCTTTTTTTATGACTGGAGATGATTTTTCATTACAGCTGATAAATGTGTGCCTGTGTATATTTCTATTACGAGCACTGTTGGTAGTCTCACCTACTAAGTTTAAGTAGCACTTTCAGTTATAAGGTGTAACTTTCAGATGAGAGTAGCTCTGCCTTGCCACACTCCTCTTGCATTCAGATTGGGTGTCTGCCTCAGGCAGAATTTACTTTTTCTAATTATAGCCAAGATAATTAAGCAGTTTTCTAGCAGAAATGCTGACTCGAAAAGTATGACTTCAGAAATTTTCACTGCCTTTCCTTAGATTCTTTGGAACCACCAGTTCTGCAGAGCATGAACCAAAGAAATGGGTGGATCTGGAGAGAAAATTGTGATCTCTTGTCCACCCAAATTTGACCAAGTTTCTGAGGCTTTGAAGGAAAGATAATTCACGTGTACTCAGTGCAGATTTGCTAGAATTGCAGCTAGGATCTCAAAGAATTCTGTTTCTTGCTAGACCTGCTGCAGGCCATGGGTAGGCAGAGAGACTTGCAGGGCTGTCCATACAAATAAGAGATGTGGTCTGCTGCAAGCTCTGTGTTGTAAATAAAAGTCTGTCTGGCGGTTCTCAAATTGTCTGACTTGATCTGGATAGAGGACTGCAGGAATTGTGATGGGGGATCTGGGGCCGTGGTGTGAGGATGCAAAGTGAAAAACACATCTTTCAGTGGGCCTGGTTCGGGGAGGATGTTTAGCCGAGGGAAGAAAGGACAGAGAGTAAGTGGAATCATAGGGAAGTGAGATGTAGGTGAAGAATATTTCGGAAGAACACCTGTGAGTATGGAACTGGAACTGACTTGGCAAGAGTCAAGCAAAGGCAAGTTAGAAGGGTGAAATAGAGAAGGTTAAGCTGAAAATGTTATTTTGGGCTACGTGGATTACTTTACACTACAGCTATGTAGGCCTTAATGGACTAAAGACTGCAGGGTTTCACTGTTCCTCTTGTGTCAGAAGACACACGTGAGACTTGATGGATCTGCCTTCCTACGTCGTATCAGAATGACGGCTTGGTTGTGTTTCCCCTGCCGAGGCAGCCCAAGTAACTGAGATGCGTGGCAGGTCTCAGGGCTCCAAATCCAGTTGAATTCTCCTTAGTCTTTTTTTCACTTGTCTGTTTTTGGTCGATTTTTTTCCAAAAAGTGGGAAAGCCGACACGTGGAGTGTGAAATTTAAAAAACAAGCAGTGCTAAGGTTGCAGAGTCAATGTCCTAAGGATTAAGGACCTCAAAGACTTGTTGATAGTGCAATATTTTATTAACTGTGTGGTAAAAACATTAGAAAATAAAATTACTCTCTCCTTTGAATATTAGTCTTTAATGTTGCTTTGAGTGAATAGATGTCTGTTTAATCTCTTTTGAGCCTCTCCCTCTCTGAGGCAGGAAGCATGAGGTCAAGTGCCTTGAAGTCTGTGCTGCAGCAATATGCTCCTGAATTTCAGCTGGCATGCCTCGGATCAAGTTCTGCTCTTTTGATACCTTTATTTATTTTTTTCTAAGGTAATAACACTTGCTTCTATGGCAAGTGCTACTATTGTCGGGAAACAGAACCAGCCTGTGCAGATGGTGATATCATGGAGGGATCCGTGACACTGTGGCTGCCGGATGTCTGGCCTCTTCAGAAGCATCGGCACCCGTGGGGTAGGACTTACCGTGAAGGCAAACTTGCCAGGTATGAGAACTTGGTAGAGTTGTTCTTTATACATGATAATTTGTACTAGATTTACCCTTACAATACAGTGCCTAATTAAGGAGCAGGTGTTGTCAAAACCTAGAGTTTTGCCAACAACTGTCTTGATAGGACAGTAGAAGTCAAGAAATGTAGGATGAGATTTAACTTAAAATGAGCAAGAAAGAAATCATCATTGTTGTCCACAATAGTAAGCACTGTCCTTTTCCTCCTCCTTGCCTGGAGCAGAACTCCACCATGCAGTCACTCCAAGTTACTAGACTCTTGACCCTAGGCAAGCTAAGACTTTTCTCTTGTGCCATTAGACCTTCTTTTGACACTGTGCCTCTCAGTGGCCCACTAAAATATGGTAGTACTGTGCTATTTTCTGCCAGACTTCATTTCATTGTCCTTGTAGATTCTTTCAAGAGCTGTGGATTTGGTTTAGTTTAGGTAGGTAGGCACTGGAAAGTTCTTCTTTGGATACCATCAGTATTTGGTGACCATGCTCAGCTTCTAAAGAATGCTTTTAGAGGAGGACAAACATGGGATCTAGCAATCTTGTACAATAGAGGTGACACGTAGGTGTGTTTGGGTTGGAAATATTTTCACCATGACCAGTAGAAATGGTTCCGAGCTTCGTAAATCTTTCTAAGTCTGTGTCCTGGACAAGTGATTTAGAAAGAGACTCTTAGTCCTTGATCTGAAATAGCCATTGATTTCCAAAGACGTGATTGTTCACAGAAAGAATCTCATTCAAAGGCTTCCTTGAACTGTTTGAGAGTATTAAAGCTGCAGTTTGATTTTTGAGCAGCAGATGTTATCTCATTTTCAACAGGTCAAAATCAGCTGTATTTAGTACCTGGGAAATTGCAGTAATGAATTGACGTAATTTCTTGGAGGTGTTTCTTTTGTTGAGAGACTGTTTTTCATCACAAACTGCCTGCTTATGCTGGAGTTTACCCTGATACCAATGGTGATTTGATAATCGCTGTATTTTAAACTCCCTTGCTCTTGTCTCGATCAGATGGGATTGCATGGTTCTGTTGTTTCACACCTTGTCATGTTGTGCTTTTCACTTTTAAAGCATCAGGCGAATTGAATGTTCTAGATGTCATGCTCGTCTTCTTCTGTGTCTGGTAATTATGGAAGAATAACTATAGGAATATTTTTCCTGCTCTAGCTGCTTCTACTCTGTCCCAAGTTGACCTTTGGAACATAATTCATATAGTCACATTAGTGAACATAATTTTTAATGGACTTGTAATAGATCAAATCCCTGACCTTCGAAGTCCTGTGCTAATACCATATAAACGATCAGAAATAAATGCCAGAGAAAGGTCTGTCTTGAAAGAGTGAGTGAAAAATGAGAAGAGGGAGCATAGTATATCTGAAAAATCATTGCAAGGAGATTAAGTACTGATGTAAAGTAAAATGAGAGAAACACTTGAGGGAGAGAGGGTCGTAGCCTAAAAGAAATGTATGCAGTACAAGGAGAAGTACAGGTCTGAAACTTCTGCCTTCTGTGCGTGTGCTGTAATTTTAACTTTGAATTTGGGTTTCAACCTTGGTGCAAAAGAAAGGGGCAACTGGAGGCAGAACTTGAGGAGTGTGTGTGATGTTAACAAAATCATTAAGAAGATAAATTTTGGCCACTGATTTGGATAACTGGAGGAAAGATGGGATATTCAAAGCTCAGTCTCCAGATCTCTAGCAGATGAGTTGGGATACTTAAATTCTAATCATCTCTTTGCTTTTATGACTCTGCAATTTCTCTCCAGCTTTTGTTTCCTCCATTTCTGTTTCTAGTTCACAGATGGTTTAAGGCATTTCCAACTTAACTGCTATTTTGTGAAGGATTGATTCAGTCCTCACGTGGAAGATGTTATAGATATACTTGCTATTGAGGTTGGCAGATGGAAGGGATATACACCAGAGATTTGGCTGTTACGGTGGTGGTGTTGAATAGCTTTGAAAACTATAAGGAAGACAATGAGAAAATTTAAAATCCTGACTTTGGAGAATTGAGACGTGACATCCCTGGTATAAGATGGCAAGTGCATGCCTAGATAATGTGTAGAAGATGAGAGAAAAGAGAAGTTGGAAATCTTACCAGTAGAGGAGAAGGTAAGAGACACCGAAAGGAAAGTGGGGAGGAAAGAGACTGGGGGGCAAAGGAAAATGAACATGTGTGAGGCCCTTCTCAGGACAGAGGAGGTCATTAGTAACCGTGATGAGGTCACTTGCATTAGGGAGAAAAAATGAAGAGGATCGCTGGAAAGCAAGACTGATGGAAGCAGGTCAAAGCAGTAGAAAATAGACACAGCGTTTGAAGTCTTTAGTCAGGAAGTTAAGGGAGGCAAGTCCTGACAGTGATCTTGCCATGAGGCAGCCCAACCACTGCTGAATTGTGAGCAGTGAGGAAGCAAACTCTGACCTTGTTTTCTGTAGGAAGATGATGTGTAACCTTGCACTGAAACTACAGCTTGCTCCATACAAATAGAGTGTTAATACAGGATTTACTCTTTTAATAAAACGTTTTTCGTAACTCTTTCTTCTTTATATGGCTTTGAGTGCTGCACACACTTCTTTTCACACGTATAAATGAATAAAGGGGCAGCTATAAATACCGTTGCTGTGCAATTAAGGAGTCTTCCTTGAAGGTTTGACTTGGTTTCTCTTGACGGCAGGTGGGAGTATGATGAAAGCTATTGTGATGCTGTGAAGAAGACTTCACCATATGACTCGGGCCCTCGTCTCCTTGATATCATTGACACCGCTATCTTTGATTATTTGATTGGGAATGCTGACCGCCATCACTATGAGAGTTTCCAGGATGATGAGGGAGCCAGCATGCTCATCCTCCTGGATAATGCCAAAAGGTGAGGGCAAAGGAAATCCTGGTGGCCAGGCTGTGGCGAGCCCAAGGGCACGCATTTATCTGCTCTGTATCTCATCTCTCTTTTTCCTTTATCTCACCAATTTTTTCATTAATACCTTTTGTGCTAAAGATCCAAAGCTTTCCTTCTTACCAGAAATTACTCACCAAATATTAGAGTCCTCCGAAGGCTGTGATGCTTACTCTGTGCCCTGGGTACTATGACTGCTTTAGGCAGTCAAACTACAGAAATGCCCCGATTAGCACAGTATGACCTTTTTGCCCCAAGCAACTTTCAAAGGTTTATGTCTCCCATGTGATCCCCAGAAAAGCCCTTCTCTTTTATGCTTTTAGTTAAGATTAAGAACTTAGGGTTTATTATTTACCAGTGAGTATTAGTAAGTGTTACAGTAAAATTTAAGTCTTTTCAAAATTTGTCCCTGAATAATTTGATATTCTCTGCTTTTTAGATCTGTCTGCTCTGGCTTTAAAAACTTAAAAGTTTAAAATGGACATGGAACTGATACTGAGAGCAAAATAAGACGATGTCCTCAGTGTGGTCATTAACTATTACTGAAACAAAACTGAAGCATGTAGTAACTGAGAGGAACTGATGAGGAATCCTCCTTGAGGCTAAGCTTTACTATTAAGCATTTGTGTTTAAAATGTGTCTGAAAAACCAATATTTTGGTGGTGGGTTTTTTGTTTGTTTAAAAAGTGTGTTTAAAAATCCTACTGAAGATACAGCCTTGTTTAAATCATAATAATTAGCTTAATTTTTCTTAAAAACAGAGGTAACTTATTCCACTTTCTCATTATTTAGTCCAGAGACTCCTGAGGTTTTTTTTCTGATGGGCACTACTCTCTGCAGTGGCAATGAGTTTCCCTTTCTGTGTATGGACCAGCTTCTGCTGGTTACCTCTGGCAGTTGCTGGGCCAGGCTCCGCTCTGCAGAGGCTTTGCACACCATGTGTACGAAGTGTGCATAACAGTTGATGAGACTTCTGATCTAAACATCTCCTTGGAAGGCTTGGAGTTACCATTTCTTTTCCCATTTGCCTTTCATATAGTGGATTTCTTCCTCCCTTCCTTCTTTTCCCTCCCTGCTTTTCTTTGTTTCTAATTTGTCTGCAGTGGCTCGGTGGGTATTTAGTCCTTATGCCTCAGCCTGTTCACTAACACTTCCTCAGTTATGTCAGCAGGATGTGTTGCACCTTGGGACTGCCTAATTATTGCTGCTTTCAGACTGCTTTAGGTAAATTTGGCAAAAATAGTCTTTTTATAATGCTGTGGCAACGTGCTAGGGGGAAGTTACTGTATTAATCACTGGAAGTGAATATGGTAGTTGAAGGTCATGTCAGACCTTTCATTGTGCTACGTGCTTAAAAACAAAAACAATTCCAGTGGGGCTTTGCAGGCCCGGGAGTACTTTGTTTACTTGAAAGCTTCAGTAAGGTTCTTTCAGCTCCTTTGAGATAAGGAGTAGGGGAGGACACAGGTTTTTCGTCAGAGAATCATAGAAGATTTCAAGTTGGAAGGGACCCATAAGGATCACCGAGTCCAACTCCCTCCTCCTACCTAAAACTAAACCATATGACTAAGAGCATCATCCAGATGCTCCTCGAACTCTGACAGGCTTTGTGCTGTGACCACTTTCTTTGGGAGCCTATTCCAGTTTTAATGCTACTAATAACAGAATTATTTGAGCAGAGTAATGCCAGACTCCTAGAACAAGTTATTGAGGGGAAAGTTCTTTGTTGAAAACTGTATTATGAGGGGTGAAATGATTAAAAAAAAAAAGAAAAAATAGCACATGTTTAAATGAAGCTTGAAACACTATGAAATCCTTTTGGCTGGCCTCCCTTAGAAAGTGTGATCGTGAATGTTAAAGCTGATCACCTTGTTGGTCTGAGCTTGGCCATCTAAAACAGCATGTAGCTGCTATTCCGTTCGTTCCCTGTCCAGCTGTGTCAGACAGGCAAAGCTCCTGCTCTCTGTGTCCAGAATACCAATTATTCCTTTCCCCTGCTTTGCAAAATGAGCTCAATCTCTAAACTCCTCTGAAGTTTGTGTCTAAGGCGCCTTGGTCTGATAAAGAACTGGGTACACACTGGTGTTGCTGCGGTTTGTCTGGTACATTAGCTGATGCTGTAGAGAGTTGTATCTGTAATTGGTCATGACCTGTTTATATTTTAATTTAGATTTAAATGGTTTGAGCTGTTGGAGCACGAAATTGCCTAGTATTGATTTTTTTTTTTAATTCTTTGCAAATCTGTTGGTGTTGAGCAACATTAGGTGTTCAGCTGGTTCACTTGGTTTTAATTTTGCTTTTCAGCTTCGGAAACCCTGCCCTGGATGAAAGAAGCATCTTGGCTCCTCTTTACCAGTGCTGCATGTAAGTCAAATAGCAGGATCCTGTTCACTTCACTTATGCAATTGCTGCCCTTAGGTGTGCAGTATAATTAAGTTTGAAGCCTTCCGGCAACCTGAAAGCGTTCACTCGGGTACATAGTGCTTTACTTTCTTGAGGTAATATGTTTGTTTGATGCATTGTGACTGTTCAAGAAGCTGAGAAATACATTGTTATTAAGATAGTAAATCAGACAGTAGATGTAGGAAGTAGTCTCTCCTCCAGGTCGCTGGTTCAAATCTATCCTTAGTCAGTATGACAGGTACTTTGCATCTGCAGCTGTCTCCATCCAGCTTCTGCAGAATAAAAGTTCACATCACAGTTTGAGTTCTCTCTGACAGAAACTAAGGACTCAACGTGTCTGGCAACTTAACTACCTTTATTTCCAAATGTTCTTTCTAAACAAGACTGCAGCACTGCTCAGGGGGGTGCTTTCAAAGTGAAGGATTTTGTTTCCACTTTGGCCTTGTGGGCTGGGTTTTTGTTCATTTTATTTTTAGAGGCTGTGACTTGTTGATTTCTGCTTTCTGTGGCCGCTCTCTCACCAGAACATTGCTACATCTCATTAACAAATAGATAAAAGTTCCAGGAAGAATAATACTGATATATCTGTTTCCTTCCCGTTACTTCAGGATAGCATTAACTCCTTTAAAACCTTCCAAATTAAACATCTAGTTGAGCGTTACTTGAGAGTAACTTGAGTTGAGAGTGCCCAAGATTTCACAGACCAAGACGGTTTAGATGGGCTGATGTGAACAAGTTCAGTGGACAGTGATGCAGAAATATCGCTGCTATGTTTGCTTTCTGCGGAAGCTCAGTCAAGTGACTTGTAGCCTTTGTGATTAATTGTTGGTCAGTGATGCTCTTCCTGAGGTCACACGAGTTTCATTTCTGAATGAACAGCTGGACTGTTAATTTTCCTTCGTTTTCAAACTGTGCCCAGGAGGCCACAGGACTGAAGAACTTCCTTGCTAGCAGTTGAAAGTGTTCCTGTAATAACATCAGAATTGCATCCCATTAGATTCTTTCTTCTTCACCTTCAGTGTTCAGTTAAGTTTCACATAGATATTGCGTACAATGCAGTTGTACCTGGAGCCTGCCATCCCCAGACCAGTTTTGGGATAAGGCTCTGGTCTGGATGTGACAGGCTCCCTCAAGAGCTTGGCTTTGGTATTGCTGATGAGACTTCGGCTGGACAGTGGTAAGATGATGCTGTGTCTGTTTCTCTTTTGCAGCATCCGGGTTTCTACCTGGAACAGGCTCAATTACCTGAAGAATGGAGTACTGAAGTCTGCCTTAAAAACTGCTATGTCGCATGACCCCATCTCACCAGTGCTTTCTGACCCTCATCTGGATGCCCTAGATCAGCGGCTCCTCAGCATTCTGGCTACAGTGAAGCAGTGCACAGACCAGTTTGGGCCAGATGTTGTGCTGGTGGAAGACAGGATGACACTGTCTCATTTGTAATGGTAGTGGAACACAGATGAAACTCCTTTTTTAAAAACAAACAAACAAAAAATGGATAGAAAAACAGCACAATCAGTTCGGAAAGGCTTTGGCCAAGATGGACTGAAATGAACAGGAAAGCTTCCGAGCCAGAGAAACAGAGGTGACGCTGGCTTTTACCTTGGGCTGACAGCAGTGAGAGGTGGGAAGTTGGAGCCTTGGACGGCTCAGTACCTGTAATGGCGTCTGGGGTGTTGTGATGTGTCCATTGCCGGCAGTGGACATGGCATGGGATAAAAATGGCTCTTGGTGTTGGTGGAAGTGTGTGGAGTACAGACACTAATTTGTGGACTGAATCTAGAGGGGACAAATGGAGATGAACATTATGATCCTCTCCTCTTCTCTTCCCCACATATACTCTTGTGAGTTTTTGTCTGATTCAGGGTTGTACGTAATCAGCTGTGAGCTGGTTAGGCATTTTTCTGCTTCTTTAG